AATGCAATGGAGATGCTGCTGGCAGCTGTGCAAGATCGAGCGCTTCACCAAGCGAAGGTGTAAGTGGAAATCCAGAAGGCACAGAAAGGAGAGAAACGGTTTTGGGGAAGAACTTTACGCTGTGCCGGCATGACGCGGAGGGAAGTGGTTAAAGTGGGAGGCATGAGGGCTCTGTCTAGCCCTTTAGTATTAAACTTTTTGGCTTTACAGGAAAATCAGGGCTTGAGTTTGCAGAGATAACTATGGGCATCGCTGGAACCGACGTGGCTAAAGAATCAAACCCACCAGCAGTGGATGAGGCTGCGAGGGTTGAAGTGGCGCAGGTGGGTCTGCACTGGCAACGCACACGTGGATTATTTACAGCTCGGTGGGCCCGTGACTTTTTTTAAATATTGAGAAAAGTGCTGAGTAGCTTCTGTTCAGAACTTCACAGGGCTGTTTGACGCGGGACGGCGGAATGTGATGGAACCTGCTGGGAATCTTCCCGTTGGTCTCATACAGCGATGGAGAACATGTTGGGTCATGCATCATACCAGCTCGTACTGGCCTTCACACTCCTGCTTACTGGTGAGAGAATTTTTGATATCGATAGTGGAAGAAGTGCCTGGGGGTGGCAGGGTGCCCTGGGGCCTCTGGGTTGCCGCAGTGGGGCAGGGGACATGTCACTGGGCTGGGGTCCAGGTGCCTCCTCCTCGTCCTACACCTGGGGCACGTAGAGCTCTACCTGCCCGCTGTGGTTCACGACCGTCTTCCGACGGCTGCCTTACATCTGCTTCCTCCTCCCTGCAACGAGCCATCATGTGCCCGTGGCTGGAAATCTCTCCAGCCTCGGTGACGCCCCCCGGATGTCTCCTGGACGGTGGCGGCAGCTGCTGGCGGTCATCTCGTGCTCCCCGCCTCGCGTGCGGCCACTCGGGCGGCGGGGACGGTAGCAGGATATGGGCAGCCTCTGGGCGTGACGTGGAGGAGAAAGAGGAAGGGTGTCAGTGGGGAGGGGGCCAGTGCCCGTCCCAAGGCGGTGGCGCACGGTGGGGCCAGCTCTGCCTGTGCCGTTTGTGTGGACCCTGCTTGCGCAGAGGCCACCCCGCAGAGATGTCCCGGCCGGTGCCTTCGCCTGCCTCCGCTGCTGCCCGTGCCGCCCTCCTGCTTGGCTGTGCCTGGCTCGGCTCGGCCGCCCAATCCTCCTCAGGTAGGTGCTTTGGTGGGACTGGGGGGCGATAGGGCAGGGACGCTTTGCTGGGACACCCCGACATCACCTCCCATGGTGCTCAGAGGGGATATCTGGGTATCATGGTGAGAGCTCAGGGCGCTGCTCTGCTGCCTTCCCTGGGTGTCCATGTTGAAAAGCTAAGGAAGACCTGAAACCCTACCACCCCTTCCCCATCTGGTGGAAAAAATCTGCTCTCGTAACCCAAATTTCCCCTGTCCCCTGGATGGGGAGAGGGGGCAGAGGTTGCGGGCAGCTGGGATGTGACCGCGGCCCCTTGGGGCTGGGTGTTCTGGGAACCACCTGGATGGAGCTTTTGGAGCTGGGGGATGATGCACAGGGGAGCCCCCCGCTACCAAGACCTTGCCACACAACCCCAATACACCACATTTTTTGAGCAAGCGAGAAAAGGGAATTGATCAGGAGTTGCTCGTCTGGTGTCCGGGGACTTTCCTGTTCTTTGCTTTTGTTCTGATTGTGCAGCAAAAAAACCTCCAACCACAGGAAGAGGGGGATGCGTGCGCAGCCCCGGCAGAGGCGGGGGGCTGAGCCGGGGGGGGGAGGAGGAGGTGGGAGCCCTGGTGGAAGAACATCTCCCATCCTGGCATGGGTGGACTCACCCACAAGGGGCTTTGCAGTGTTTTTATTTGGCCCAGAGGACATGCATTTCTCTCACTCTGTGATTTTGACAGTAAAATCAGCACCCATAAAGTTGTGCTCTGTGCAAAAGTAGAGAAAAATTTACTGGTGGCTGGACTCTTCTCCAGCCCCACCAGGTCATCAGGCCTTCAAGTGGCAGTACCTCTACAACTGCCTGAAGGGAGGGTGTAGTGAGGTGGGGGTTGGTCTCTTCTCCCAGGTAACGGGTGATGGGACGAGGGGAAATGGCCTCAAGTTGCACCAGGGCAGGGTTAGGTTGGACATGAGGAAAAATTTCTTCACCGAAAGAGTTGTCAAGCACTGGAATGGGCTGCCCAGGGAAGGGGTCGAGTCCCCATCCCTGGGGGGATTTAAAAACCATGTAGACGTGGCACTTGGGGACATGGTTTAGTAGGCATGGGGGTGTTGGGTGCATGGCTGGACTTGATGATCTTGGAGGTCTTTTCCAACCTCCATGATTCCATGATTCTGTGTTGGCAGACCCGCATGTCCCCGCAGTGGTGAGGGTGCCCGTCCAGGCTGGCACCGCTGTGGTGGTGGTGCAGGGGGTGGCATGGCTCAGCACGGCGAGGGTGGCAGGACGCTAAGGGCTCCCATGTCCCGAGCTGCCCCTGTCATGGGGCAGGATGGTGCCAGATCCTGCATTTGCTGGTGGCTCTGCAGGGAAGGGTGACAGCTCCTCTGTGGTCCCAAGTGGGAAGGGGTGGCGGGAGGGGGCTCTTGGCTGAGCCTGATGCCTTGTGTCCTCCACAGCGCGTATCAAAGGGCGAATCTTCATCCCTCTCACTTCCCAAGAAGAAGCCATGTGCCCCATGGCCTCTGTGGAAGCTTTTCTCAACAGCACCCTCAGCACCCAGCTCCTCCCTGCCCTCTACTCCGTGGTGCTGCTCGTGGGGCTGCCGTCCAACGCTTTGGCCTGCTGGGTTCTGGTGACCAACTACAGGAGATGTTCCAGCACCCTCTTCCTGCTCAACCTGGCCAGTGCCGACCTGCTCTTTGTCCTCGTCCTGCCCTTCAAGATCTCTTACCACCTCTTGGGCAACCACTGGCTCTTTGGGGACTACCTGTGCCGTACCATGATGGCCTTATTCTATGGGAACATGTACAGCTCCATCCTCTTCCTCACCTGCATCGGCCTGGAGCGCTACATCTCTGTGGTGCACCCATTCCTGTGGAAGGGCTCCAGTTGGATGAGGGGCAAGGTGGGCATCTGTGTGGGCATCTGGCTGGTGGTGGGGCTGGGCATGACCCCTCTGCTTTTGCACCCCCAGACAAACCGTATCTCGAGCCTGAACATCACGACGTGCCATGATGTCCTAGGAAAGGAGCAGCACATGTTCCTCGCCTACTATTTCCTCTCCCTGGTGGGGCTGGGCTTTGGCTTGCCCTTTGTGCTTATGACAGTCTCCTACAGCTGCATCCTGGTGCGACTGATGGCTAAGGGGAGACGCTATGGGCAAGTGGTGCGTGTCCTGGCCCTGGTCCTCCTGGTCTTCATCCTCTGCTTCACCCCCAGCAACGTGCTGCTCTTCATCCACTACATGCTGGAGGCCTCGGGGTGCCACAACACCACCTACATGTGGTACACCCTGGCCCTGGCGCTCGGCGTCTTCAACAACTGCTTCGATCCCTTTGTCTACTTCTATGTCTCCCAGGATTTTCGGGACTGGGTCCGGGACGCAGGCAGCTGCTGCCCAGGGTGGCGCAAGGCAGGGAGGGTTTCGGAGAAGGCAGCCCTGCCCCTGAGGTCCAGTGAGCAGAGCCAGCTGTAGGCAGGGCTGGGGGGTGCCAGGCTGTGTCCCCCTGCCCGGGGGGGTCCTTGCAGCTTGGTGCCCAGCACCAAGGCCCACGCTGTCCCAGGCTGGCAGCAGACTTGGGTAGAAAATCCCACCCCGGATCTGAGGTTCGCTGGGACTTCACCCCAGGTTTGCAGTTCCTCCGACGCTGCCAGCGCTGCCCCCATCCCACAGGTCCCCTGATGGGTGCCTGGCCCTGGCACCCCCAGCTCCCCGCCTGCCAGACCGCGGCGTCCCTCACTGCTCCTCCTTGCAGTCACCAAACCCTCCAGAGTACAAATAAACCTTTATTTCTCCCTGCTGGTGGAAGGAACAGGCATAAATACCCCCGCCGAGTAGGAGCTGTCCTCCATCGCCAGGACTACGCACCGGGCACACACGGACAGCCCTGCTCCTGGTGACCCCCCCTCCAAAACATGCCATGGTAGATGCAAGAAGGGACACAGGGATGGCTTGGGTGCCCTGTCCCTGCCTCACAGGCCCAGCGCTGGGGACGGGACGTTGTGCTGCGTTGCCCTGTTCTGGCAGGCACCGCACATGCCCCCCG